TATATTTTATATTTATTATATATCATTATATTGCATTGAGTGTCACATATTATACAAGATGTTCCAAACTAATCTCGGTTCCTGTAATGTGCAAATAGAACGGGTGAAATTGAGTAGAAAAGTCATTAACCATTTTGATACATACACTTTAAAAAAAAATTTCATTAAGCTATAATATTTTTACTTTTTATTTAAATCTTCTCTCTTCAATCCCTTTCTACAAGAGACTGTCTGGACGTGAAAAATGTCGATCTTCTGATTTGTCGTTGATTTGTACTACTTGAATTAGTTTTTAATAATTGTTCATCCCCCGTTTTATTCTCCTAATACAAATCGGGGTTTTTCTTTTTTCTGAAATTTATACTTCTGATGTTAGAATATAATGAACGAAGAGATGACCGCAGTAAAATAATGCCAACTCTTAGCTCATTATATTTATATTCTCTTGATAAAAAAAAATTTGGTTTCCCGGTTCCCTGTTTTTCACATTTTGGTATCAGGAGAATATAATAATCGAGGAAATGGTACAGCTTTCCAACGGAAAATTTAAAAATTTCGAATTTTTAATATTCAATTTTCGTATTTTAACATCAAAAGAATATAACGAGCGAGGAAATAGCATGATTTTCCGGCTGGAAATGGTTTGAAAAACTTACGAATTTCTTTTTCTCAATTTCCAGTTTTTCTTTTTTACTTTTTAGCATCAAGAGAATATAATGCGCGAAAAAGTAGTACAAAAAAAAAAACTTTGCTAAGATTTAATCATTAATGTATTTACTTATTTTAATACATTTTAATGTAATACACACAATACAATACAATATAATGTAACGTTAAAGTATAATTAACTAAATAAAGTATAATTAAACTAAAGTAAATATCTCAATTTTGTTTATCGTTCTTTGAAGCATCTAAAAAGTATTAAATTGCGATGTACATACTTTTCGAATAGTGGGAGTGCTGGATTGACGTAAGCCAGCTATTTCCGCGCTATTTTCAAACGCGAGTCTCTGCCGAACAGCTCGAACTCTAAAATCGGCGATGCAATACTAAATTAGCGTCTAATTAACATCTCATTCTAGTATAGTTACCATTTTGTTTCTTTGTGTTAGAGCTACCAGCAGAGGTTTGTAAAATACAGCGCGCCGCCAGATGCAGACTATAAAATGCTCAATTGACGTCAGTCACCCAGTTATTTTTAACTCCCTGTTACCATAATTTTTTTTCGAAAAAATCGTCATTTCTTTCTCGAATTACCACTACGTTTGTGTTATGAATTTAGCCGAAATCATTCCATATGTTCTGCCGCATCGAACGCATCCCTACGTTTCTTTCTCGCTACCATTCACCGCTCCACCTATATTCTCCCTTAACAATAAGAGAGGGTTGCGATGGTATTTACGATAAGAGAGTTGTTCGGGGTTACGTGGGCGCCCGCAGAGCGGTGGGCGTTGCGCACACGAGGTTTATTTTAAACTCGTGTCATCACGCATTATTCGGTACACCATGAGTCAATATCGACCTCCGCAACCTGATCGCTCGCTTTAGATATCCGCAAGACAGAAGGGCAAAAACTATTATATAGCTGAAGAGAACGGAAAAGAAGAGAGGATGCGTCGTGATTTACTTCGATATATCATTGTCAATTTCGACTCGTAGTCGGGAGAATACTCGCGTATTACAGTTGCGGACAATTTTAACGTATCGTCGAATGGTTATTTTTCGGCGACAATGCTCAGTTGTACACAACGTTGTACAGTTGTACACATACGCATATTTGTGTCGAGGAATGTAACACGAGCATTCCGCTGTTAAATTAATAATCAGGCACAAATATACCACGGCAGTGAGGCTCATCAACGATTTATTACGTAAAGTCGGAAATATATAATGGAACATTATTCGCCACTTAAGCTTAATTAATAATAATATACGAATCTTTCGAACGATCGCGGAGTGCGTGGGAATTATTTACACGTCAACGCTGAGCCTATGTGCAATGTAGGTTTTTGCGTCATCGAATGCATAATTGACTGCGCAGGAATTACGCGGCAATCGATGGCGAAGGGTTAATTACGATTTCATTGATAAAATTATCGATAACGATGGCGTTGTGTTGTGTGTAAACACCATGTGTGAACCGCGACTCGCCGATGTGTTGAGGATCCAATTATCAGTCGCGGGTGCAATTAGTCGATGAAACTCGGACGAATCGTCGTCGGTAGCTCGGAAATTGTTTACGACGCCGATCTCGATCGTAGTGGGAATGCGGCGGAAACGCTCTTACCGGAAGTGAAAACGCGCTGAATATTAATCGGCGTGTTTTATTAATGAGATATGTCGGTCAAGGACCCGACGAGAAGGAGGAGGAAGTGGCGCAGCAGTGACGGCGGGAGAGACGGCGGTGTCATTTCAGATCATGATTCATTGACGTCCTCCTCATGTTCCCGACGGAACTGAAACGCTGATCGCGCGGCATTATGCATACGCGCCAATTTGTCTTCATTTGCATTAGACGGACGTGCGTCTTTCTTTCTCTCTCTCTCTCTTTCTTTCTCGCGCGCGCGCAGCATAGAGACTGCGTTACCGCGCCCGCAAACTTAGTCGTCGGACGGAAGAACACCGCAAGCTCTCGGGAGAAATGCGAAGGATTGTTAAAAATGTAGAAGCATTATTGGATACGCGATCGTAGATTATTAGAGTAGCTTTTGTCGCAACGATTTTCGCGAGACGCGTCCTTCCGCGACTCGCGGCGTCCTTGAGAACATCTCGCGGGTATTCTCTTATTGAACGCGTTATTTGTTATACACCTGTCTCCCGTAAGTTTCGGTCTACAGTAGATGCTTTAATCTCTAAGTTTTAAGAAATTGACCAATCACAGTCGAACTATAGAAGAAAAATCAATTGTGATTGATCAATTTCTTAAATCTTACGCTTTAAATTCTCATGGCAGACCTCGCTTAATACGATTGTAAGTGTTTTCTCTCGGCCGTAACTCGAAACTTGTTCTCTATTTTCGCAGGGAGGAGGTGCAAGAGCACACGGTTAGGTGGAACGCTAAGTTCGAGTTTTTATGCAAGATGAGCGCCAATGCATCCACAGGCGTGCTCGATCCGTGCATCCTGAGGATATCCGTGAGAAAGGTGAGAGTAGCAACGGCCAACTTACTTTCTGTTCGAGATGAATAGATGAGCAGCTCGTGCTGGGAGCGCAATGAGAAAGGCTCTTCTAACTTTTGTTTTCACGAGCGTTTTTTCTCTTATTTACTCTGGCGAACATGCGCGCCCCTGCGAAATATGGAGAAATGTTATTAGATGTAAAAATTAGCACATAATATTACATAATTTCGAATATCTATTTTGACAAATTATTTAACATTGGATCCGTTATAAAGACTTTCAGAGCATCTCTTTTTCAAATTTCAACTTGGAAGAAACAACAGTAATAACTGTTTAAGACATCAAAGATCAATAGCGCGTACAGTGCTTTTTTTATCTTAAACTTCTCTATTGATCCTTCAAGTTCGATCGAATTTGAAGAATTGGACATGAACGCGTTTTTACGCGAATAATCAACTCATAACATCGCGTTAACTTATAAATTTCTTCCATATCGTAGGAATTGAAAGGAGGCAGATCCTTCCAGAAACTAGGCTTCACCGATCTGAATCTGGCCGAATTCGCAGGAGCTGGCCTTTGTCGAAGAAGATGTCTCTTGGAAGGATACGACGCGAGACATCGTCAGGATAATTCTATGCTACGTGTAGCCATCAAAATGAACATGCTCTCTGGAGATATCCTATTTAAAGTGTAAGATAGTTATTTATCTTAAAAAGGACGCCCCCAACAGTTCCTATGCATGCTTAATTGCACAGCCTGAACGATATTTCTTTTTATTTTTGTTAATATCTGTTTCTGAGATTCCACGAATCTTTGAGGTTATGTAGAATAAAATTTTTTGGGGTATTTTTTGGGTATTTTTATTTTTGTTAATATCTGTTTCTGAGATTCCACGAATCTTTGAGTTTTTGTAGAATAAAATTTTTTGGGGTGTTTTTTGTATATACACATATACACAATGTCAGAATATATTTAAGTTTCAAATGCATACATGATATACAGGATAAATTAATTTAAATGTAACAAACGTATATCTCAACGTACATCTAAACAAAGCATTTTACAGAACAATGTTTCATACAAAAGTTGTATGGTTAGAAGGGGGACATAAAATAATGGGAACGATTTGATCTTGGATTGTTGTTCGAAGGTCGCGTGAAGGTCACCTTGAATTTTTTCTTGGGTAGTGCTTAATGTCGACAGTACCTCAACTTTCAAGCCTTATAACTCGAAAAGTATTTAATGCAAAAATATTTTATTAAAGTGTTTTACTCTCGAGATAAGCTAGAACAATATATAATAAAAAGTGGGGGATTCTATTTAAAAAATTCAAGGTGACCTTCATGTGACCTTCAAATAACAATCCAAGGTCAAATCGTTCCCACCATCTTATGTCTCCTTTGAAATCATACAACTTTTATATGAAACATTGTTTTGTAAGATGCTTTGTTTCTGAGATATATGTTGGTCACACTTTATATTTACACACACACACACACACACACATATGTATGTATACATATATACGAAAAATACACAGTACAATTAATAATTAAAAAAATTACTTTTCTCACATATAATAGTCAAAATTCTTACCATAATCACAGCCCGTTGAATTTGGCTTGTTTTTTAATGTAAAAGAAATTGCACTTGACCAGCCGTTGTGTCGTACTACTTTAATTTCTCAGTAAGTACGGTGGCGACTCGTAGCGGAGAGCTTAGAATTAATTTGCAAAAATAACGGGTTTCAAAATCGGTATATTCTTTGTATAGACCCCTTATTTATTTACTCTTTAAAATAGCAGGTCTAAGTTCCATATTTTCAGCTCACTTTTATTGATAAAAGTACTTCTAAAAAAATTTAAAGATCGTCTATATTGGAAATAAGCAGTATTAAGTAAGGAATAGAGTATTGATTGGTAGTAAGATAGTAGGAAATGGGAATGATCCGTTTTCTTTACTTCCGGTGTTAAGCGTAGTATACAATGGACATTAAGAGTATGTTCGTAAGAAGTAAGAATAAGAAATTGACCAATCATATTCAAATATAAGGAGAGTAATCGACTATGATCGGTTAATTTCTTACTCTTCTTATAAACACACTCCTACTGCCCATTGTAGGCCATGTTTTACGTCTTGTGCCTGAAAGAATTATCTTATTCCCTATTCCTTACTCCGCAGTGTTACTGCCTTCAATGTAAATGATTTTTTTATAAATCGTCTGATTGACTGAGAAGCCACATTTAAGACTTACTTTTATTTACATTACTTTTATTGATAAAAAGTGAATTGAGAATATGAGTCTAAGATGTTTATATTCAATTTGCACGGACCTCTATGTGTTCTTCAAAATAAGGCATCTAATCATATTCTTACACCCGTTATTTTTGAAAATTATTTCCGAAATCTCCGTTACGAACTGCTACTGCATTTACTGAAAAACTGAAGTCGTGATAAGTTATGGAGATTGAATAGGTTTAGTCTTTAAACTTTGTATTCCTTTTTGTACACACTTCATATTATAAAAAAAAATGAGGTCATAATACGACACAATAGTAGAATCGGACCTGCTTCTATTTCTCAAGTAGTATGACTCAAAGACTAATGAGACGTACATTTTCTATTCTATTAAAACATAGGTGAAATTCAACTGGCTATAACTTTGGTAAAAATAACGATAGCGAAATGGTTTAGGAAACATTTTAAAGCTTGAAGTTTTCAACCATATTACATTCATAAAATCAATATTGTTTATCATCAGAGTTTATCATCAAGAAATTGTGTTAAATAAGAAACGAAACTTCAATTCTCAACCTTATATCTCTTAGTTAATTTTTTACAATGAAAATTAATATTTATTAGAAATACAATAAATACATTTGGAAAAAAAATTTCAATTTATTATTCATTGCTTGACGAACGTTGTACACCGATTCATTCATTGTGAGTAATTTAAAAAAAATTGTCATTTTTACTTTATCATTGAATAATTCGGTGAAAAAAAGCGCATCGTAATCTTGCTACTACGTGCTCAGATGGTCTCAGATTTTTTGTTTACTCGGCAAACTATTAAAAATGTTGCCATTTACAATCTCGATTTATATTTACGTAACAATGTAAAAATTAATTAAAATTCTTATTCAGCAATATATGTGAAAATTAGAAACTTTAATTTGCAAAGTGATTCTTGAACCATCTCATTATCTATATATATTTAAAAGTTAGAGGCCGTTGATTTTTCGTTATTTGTTGTGAACGAGAAAAATAATCTTTTAATCATAATATTCACAAAAGGATTGAATTATAATATTGTCGAAAGTTCTCTCACCAACATGTTTCCCATTTTCTCATTTTTCTTATACGTCTCCGTGCTTGAATAATTGCCGGAGGACTCTCCCATCGTGGTACGGAGTCCTTTTGATTAACGGATCGATTATCTCTCCAGCCCTTCTCCGTCATTGAAGCAGACGCAACTGGCAGTGCCTGGAGTGCAGGGTGTACCTGGCGTTACTGGCGATGAAGTGACGACATCCGAGAGATGTAGTAACCGGGAGGATTACGTGTCTACCGGTTCTCTAGCAGGAAGTATAGCCAGTGCCAGCAGTGGTTTCGGCAGTCTTCCCAAAAAGAGACCCGCACTCTTCACCTCCGGTAACCTTCTTCCGTTTTGTATTATCTATAATTATAACAGAGAATATCGTACTTGTATAAAATCGTGCGAAACGTTGGTGATGATACGAAATACCTAGATTGTGAAAAGAAGACTCTTCCGACTTTGCATAAAAATCAAATGAAATCGATTGATCCAGAACTTCTCAGCGGAACGGAGACGTACGATTCAATGACGTTAAGCGAGATCGTGCCGTCAGCAGTCCCTGTGGTGGAAGCTCTAGTGGAAGCGCACACGGAATCGGGGCATTCGCGCAACAGCAGCAACACCAGCCAACTTAGCAAAGGATCCGGCTACGGCTCTCTCAACTCACACAGCCAGCACAGCAGGCAGAGCAGTAGCGGTGACAGCGGTCACATTAGGTAAGGCGTGTCGCGCGTCTTGACGCGACATCGCGCGAACGGTCTCGAGACCTTTCGCGCTACCTGCTATACATCTGTACAAACTAGCGGACTTATTCACGGTGGTTTGTACCGCGAGGATTCGAGCGTTTAACTTTACGTCATCGAGGATGTGTCCAGAGTCCTCTCTTCACTAACAATGCCGGCTTGAAAGTTCCTCGCGATTCGCGTCGCTATTCGTATCTAATGTCGACCTAACACATTTTGCTAGACTTCGAGATTATCTGTCACGATACTCGGGGTATATACCTTCCTTCTAATATACCTTAAAATATATACTTTTATGAGATAATAACGGCGAGCATGAGTTAAGAAGTGGAAAATAATACACGAAGGAACGCGACTGTTGATTGCAACGAGCGTACAATTATCTATAACAATAGATATATATCCTGTCCGTAATATTTTGCTGTGATACAACTAACTCTTCGAATATGCATGAGACATGTGGCTTTATTAACGAGACGATTGAGCCATGTCACGCTACATCTCTGGCTTCATCAACATTGTCGATATCTCAACGCAAAAAGAAAAGAAAAGAAATCACCTTTAATCTCTTGATCGCACCGTTAATACAGTTTCGGCAAGTAACTCGTCTCATTCTCGAATTAACAACAACTATACGCGTCGAAGTGTGTATCTAGCCGAATTCTGTTCCAAGGAGCGACAACGCTAATGACAGAGCGAATGAATAACGCGAGAAAACCTTTTTTTTTGTTTCTGCTCCAGCCTCAAGCGATCTCTTCATTCTCAGTCCCTCGACTGTAACTACGAGACTCTGGACTCTCTATCTTTTTTTTACTACTTTACGTACGTCTTTCCTCTACTTTATTATATATATATACATATCTATCTTTCTATATGATGAGTTTATGATTTTTGCATGCTTGTACATTTGTGTTGTGATCTTTATAGGTCACCCTCCTGGCCGGTATGGGCACCACGAATCCCGAACTCCTACCAGAACCCACCCGCACAACCATTCGCCTGTCAAGCCGACACCTCTGTCGAGCCCCTATTGTCACACCCGTCCTCCCTGTCGCACATGGTCTCCAGAACTCGGTTCTGGTCGGCGTCGAGCCCGCTCTCATCGCGTTGTCGCGCAAGCGACGCGCACGACTCGAGCGCGGTCGCGGTTCGCCCGGTCGGGAAGCAGCAAGAGCCGTCGCTTCGCCCTCGGAACGGTTTCCCGAGCGATACTTCGCGACCGAGCGACCGCCGCGACTACGCCAGCGACGAGCCCCTCGCCACTTTGGTGGCACCCGGTATCTTCAGAGTGCCCGACGTGCCGCGACATGCGCGCAAAAATTACGAGAGAAACAGCTACGAGGCGCGCGACGAACATGACGCAACGACCAATGACGGTAACGTCCCGACCGAACACCCGATCGCGAAGCCGCAAATCACTCACGCGGGCTGGCGCGGCATGTCCAAGACCTGCGACTGTATCGAGAAGGGCAAAACGAGCCCGGTCTTGCGACTGGTCGATCAGGCCAGAGCCGTCTCCTCTCCCGATCCTCTCCATAGGCCCGACAATCAAAGAGCCTCGCTACGTTCCGCGACGACAGCCCAGGCCCTCAGGTAGGTTTCACTTATCAGTGAGTTTTCAATTTCGCGATCCTCCGCGAGAGATCTCAAGAGCGTCTCGCTCTCTCCCATCTCCTCTCCCCCTCTCCCACTCTCTCTCTCTCTTTCTCTTTCTTTCTTTCCTTCCTTCCTTCCTTCCTTCCCTCCCCTTTTGCCCCTAGTTCCTACGACGTCTTTGTCTTCTCTCCCCGCCGTGTATCTCTCCTTTTTCCAATTTTCGAAACGATCTACGCATCGCGAGTACCTCTCCTCCATCTCGGATTGTTAACATCTATCCGATCGCGCTATCGGTCGTTCAGGGAGGAGATATTTCCCGCGGACGTTTATTACGTCTTGATCACGGCAAGAGGTATGTTGCGTTTTATCCTCGCATCAAATTGCCATTATTCGAAGGTGAGGTCATCTCTCTTACAAATCGTTAACGGCGTTTATTGTATGCCCGACCTGCGTAATTACTATTTCTATCGTGACGAGCCAGCGAATGCTCGAAGAAGCGTTTCTCCGATGTTTCTCTTCTTTGTGTAATATATATATATATACATTTTCCACCTTGAGGTACATCCTGAATTATTGCCCGATACTATAAGTACTTTTCATCCAAGTTTCGTTCACCAACCCTACGCTTTATCCACCCCCATTTAATTGATCACTTTCATTTGTGTTTCTCTCGTATTTTCGTTTGTTTTGGTTTGACGTTTTTTTCGATTTTTGGTTTTGGGAGTAGGATGCTTGAGACGAGATAAATGATTGTAATTCTCCAATGGCGGAAGTCCTAGGCCCGTTAAATGCTCGCTTGCGTGTCGTCGATTCGCTTAAATCTACGGCAAAAAGTTTACGATGCATAATCGTATTTGATTTGCTCAACGCAACACGCAGTCGAAAAATGTATATCGTTAACGACTATCCCGTCAGATATGTGAATCAGGTCTTCTCTCTTTTATCTTTCATAATTCTGTACAAAAGTTGCTGTGTGGCGATCTTTAAAATTTATCAGCTTACTGTCTTTCATTATCTCCATTACCGTATCCGCATTACGTATCCGCAGGTGCAAACTATCACGACGATATACGAGATTCGTTCAAGTAGACCTTTGACTATTACGGTGAAGACCAACTTTATCTTTCTCTCAGCGCGGGTATTTCGCAAGATATCATAGAACAAAAATGGTTAAAAATCAATCGAAACATTATGGTATAAATTTCGAACTTATTGCTGTTAATTGTACCTCACCGTTATTTTTCTCATCTAATTCCCTGACTCATTGTGGAAAGAAAGATAAAGAATTTTGTCGCGCGTGCTATTTATATCGACCGTTCCAGTCAAGGGTCGACTGCCTTTATGTGTGGAAAAGTACCTAACAGGGAAAAACGGCAAACGCGGCAGCTGTGCTTCCAGTTTGGATGGCTTTGTGAATCCTTGCAGGGGTATCGGCGGAGGCCACCGTAAGTTGCTGGACGGGGCGGGGGGCAAGCTGGCTACGGTCGCCACCAGTCCAGCGGACTCGGAGGAGTCCTCGTTAGGGGTACCGGAAGTCGCTCCGCCGAGCTCGCAGCATCGAAACAGCATTACCCCACCGTCAGTCCATGCTTTCGTCTTACGTATACCCTCTCCATACATCTCTCTCTCTCTCTCTCGCTTTTTTTCACTGCATCACGCTTACATTCCCGCGACATAAGGAACGACACATCCACTCCGTGCGGGACGCAAAATATTCCACACGGAGAGATGAGCAGGAATCATCGTTTGCCTTAATTGCGCGGCGGGATGAAAGTGTGTGATGAAACGAACGGCTGGCCGGTCGGAATTCTCGAGAATGAACGAACCTTAATGAGGCTTAAGTGCTTTCCGTGCTCGCTCTCGTTGCCGGCGCGCTAGCGAGTTACGAAGGAAATCTAATTTCACCGTGCAGTTGCGCTTTAGAACAAGCGATTTGAATTTTGCGAAAACCGCGTCCGCCGAGCATCGTTGCTCGCCGGTGAAAAGCGGACATCCTATGCGCTACAAAGACGCTATTAGTCAAATTGGTTCACCGCGCTTTCCGAAAGTCGCACCGCCAATGGCCCGGCAGGAACGACGCTCTGCACTAATGTCTCGCCGCTCTCCCTGGACTCCTCGCTTCCTCGTTTGCTCACGCGATTCACTCCAAGAGATTACGCTTTCTGCACGCTTATCGCGCACTAAACGCATGCACTTGTCGCACGTCAAGCACGCGCACGAAGATTTGCTCGACGATACACTTCATGCGTTCTCGTTATATTCTCTTTCTTCTCCTTTTTTTTTTATCCATAAATATGTATATATACAGGCTCGTCTCATTTTATTTTTGATAGTTAAATATTTAAAAAAATATGGGAGATACGGAAAAATGTTTCAGACGAAAGTTTGAAACAGTCTCAAGGGGAACAAATGACAAAATTAATTTAAATAAACTTTTTTTCAATCTCATATAAAAATCATCGCCATGTATTCAAAAGAAAAATGGCGATAACTTTTGTACGATCTTGACCGTTTTTTTTTTTTTTTTTTTTTTTTTTTTTTTTTTTTTTTTTTTTTTTTTTTTTTTTTTTTTTTTTTTTTTTTTTTTTTTTTTTTTTTTTTTTTTTTTTTTTTTTTTTTTTTTTTTTTTTTTTTTTTTTTTTTTTTTTTTTTTTTTTTTTTTTTTTTTTTTTTTTTTTTTTTTTTTTTTTTTTTTTTTTTTTTTTTTTTTTTTTTTTTTTTTTTTTTTTTTTTTTTTTTTTTTTTTTTTTTTTTTTTTTTTTTTTTTTTTTTTTTTTTTTTTTTTTTTTTTTTTTTTTTTTTTTTTTTTTTTTTTTTTTTTTTTTTTTTTTTTTTTTTTTTTTTTTTTTTTTTTTTTTTTTTTTTTTTTTTTTTTTTTTTTTTTTTTTTTTTTTTTTTTTTTTTTTTTTTTTTTTTTTTTTTTTTTTTTTTTTTTTTTTTTTTTTTTTTTTTTTTTTTTTTTTTTTTTTTTTTTTTTTTTTTTTTTTTTTTTTTTTTTTTTTTTTTTTTTTTTTTTTTTTTTTTTTTTTTTTTTTTTTTTTTTTTTTTTTTTTTTTTTTTTTTTTTTTTTTTTTTTTTTTTTTTTTTTTTTTTTTTTTTTTTTTTTTTTTTTTTTTTTTTTTTTTTTTTTTTTTTTTTTTTTTTTTTTTTTTTTTTTTTTTTTTTTTTTTTTTTTTTAAATAAATAAATTGTATCGTTATCTGTCCCTCTGGAGACCGTATAACTTTTGTCTGAAACATTTTTCCGTATCTCTCATATTTTTTAAGATATTTGATTATCAAAAATAAAATGGGACAATACATATATATCTGCGATTTTGAGTCATCACACAAGAGTAACACGATATATCCGTAGTGAGCTCATTTGGATGTACTGTGCGAGACAGCTTTCGCAAATTTGCTTTTGAAAATAAATGCCAAAAGTGTTATTCGCTAGTGAGATCCAAATGAGCTGCACTTTATTGAAATTTCTTTCGCTTTCGCACGCTCCTTCTCTTTCTTTCTCTCTATCCTTCTTCTCGCCTGACTAATGTTCCTTCTCTCAATCTCCATGTGTACGTTTAATCATTTCAAACACCGCTCGCACGAGAATAATCGCGCGTCTACCTTATTTATACGTTGATTCTTACTTATCCCCACATGACAAAGACACGTTCACTCCCTTGTACATTTTATCGGTCACTTGTGTTGCACCGCGGTGTTTCCCCGCGACATTATCGAATAAGTATACGTTCACCTTAGTCCAGACAATTCCGAACATACTGACATGGCACTTGTTACTTGAGAGAATATATTTTCAATCTAAGGGAGAGAATCGCTCTCTCGAACTGCACAGTTATATGTAAATTACAACTCTCTGATACATCTTGTACTTGTCGCTTGTATAAACACTATACACTATTATAAAAACTGTACACTACTGTACGGGAAAATCAGTGAGATTGAAGTAAAATGAAAGAAATGTTAGATCGAGGCATTCATATTTTAGAAACGCACGACCCTTTCATCTTTCGCTGATCCAAACACGTTTATCCGCATAGTACACGAGCAAGTTGTAATTATAGTTTGTTTTCATATTATTTCCATAACGTTTATTATCAGTGATCTCGAGGAAACGAACGAGTTTAACGATAACACGTGCGTCAATGAGTTGCAAGGAGGAAATTTAAATTGTTACGAAAGAAATTTTTCGTTTCATAACCATCTGATTTCACCGGATAGTACTTTTTCCTTGCTCCCCATGTCAGTGCTCGGTTTAACATTGCGAGGCGATGTCGTGGTACGCACGCGACGAAAATAATTAGTACATTCGTCCCGGCAGAAATCCTTCCGGCGGTTCGGGTCTCAGCGAAACTGGATCCCTGGACCGAGCCAAAGCCGCGTTGGAGCGCAGAAAAAAGGCGGAAGACGGCACTGGTAATCCTGTCCTGTGCAGAGTCGAGGTCACCAGGCCGAACCCCGATTCTCTCATCGACGAACTGCTCAAAGCAACGAATCTGGAACAGACGGATCTCGAGAGTTCTGAGAGTACGTTCCCCGATCGTACCTTTCCCTAAGTGTCCTGAAAATTACAAAAATGTGTTAGCTTCGCGACTGAACGTGATAACGCACTTGTTGCAGCAACTGGTCTTCAGCTTTTTATCGCGAAAGACGGCACGACCGCGCTCGGCAGCCACGAAGTGAAGAGCCAAATGCCCGGTGTGTTCAAGCAGGTGGTGATGGAAGAGAACAACAGGTAACACGAAGCCATCACGTCGAGACGGCAGTACGCAAGACAGACCGGCGCGACGTTCTCGTTGGCTCTGGTGCCGGAGCTTGTCTATGAAGCCTACGAGCCTCGGTAATCACGAAGGAGAACGACGACGACGACGTTGGACGAGGGAATCGTCGAGACGAGGGAGGAGCGGCCAAACGCGAACGGAATCACGCCCGTATTCTTATTAGATCATTTAAGTCGTAGCTCTCCTCCGTATGCGAACGTGCTTCGATGATTTCGGGACTTGGGACGGATCCCAGGACGGAACGCTCGGGTGTTCGCAAATAAGACTCGAAAATTCCGGGAGCAGCGAACGACAGGCGGCGTCGCCACTACTCGTTGCACACGTGAATCCAACTGAAGGCAATACACGATGGAAGATACGTGATCGTCGCGTTCGTGAAGGTGACGTCAAGAACAAGCGAACGCATGCTGAATCGAAAAGCTAATTCAAAAAATACAAAACAGATTATACATATTTTCTTCCTTCCTAAACGAAGCACAATAATCCTCGTCGAGCGTGCTTCATTTAAGAGGAGCGTTAGTCAATAAAGTTTAAACTGAGAGAGGAAGTAGCAAGGAAATGTAGTTAGGCGAGAGGATAACAACAACGGGGGCGAAACACGGTCAAGGTCCGACGAAGCTTTGCAATGGAGAGTAATGTCGAGCGAAACTTAAGCGCCAACTTTATTTATAGCAATATATACCGGCGATGATACCTTACGTTTAACTCGTGTATGAAACTCGTCATGCGAACCGCGATCGACACGAAGACAGATATTAAAATTCAGATATTGATATTATGTAACATAGTTTTATATGAAAGTACCTTTGACACGGAGAGCGAAAGGGAGAAAACATTTCCAACGATATTCAGCCGAGACGAGAAACGTCGATTAATCGTTCTACTGTTACTTCGCTTTTCGATCGCAATTTTACATTTCCTGCGAATTTTCGACAATTTTCATTCAATTTCTGCTTTATGAGGCCTGTTCTTTGACGCTGAATTGGTGCACACTTTCGGAACTTCAAAAGAAATGGATATATAGACTATGACTTCGTGTAAAAGAGAGGGAAAGAGAACTGCTGACAAGCTGATGTAGTCAGTTCGGCTATAAAGAACAGCCCAGTGGTGTAACGAGTTTTTTTTTCCTTTTTATTTCCAAGATACATTCTTTATAGTTGTACTCTTTCATCGGCTACGAAATCTTCATATGCAAATCGATTGGAGAGAGTGCGTGTGTTCAAGTTAAAGTTGGAAGATAAGCACATATAACACCTGTGTAATTTCATATTACTTGAATATATTTCTGCTCTGAAAGAGACATTCGGAAAGTAGCGCGCAGCTTCTTCGATGCTTCCTGTGAGCGATCGCAACTCTTATTAGACTCGAAGTACTTCCAAGACCAGCAGCCGATTCGATTCTTTTTCAGGGGATGAAACGTTTCTGGAAACGTTCTTTTTAATGTACAAAACAGCGTTCTCTGTGAAGTGCGATATAAATGTTTCACGACTGAATAGTTTATGTTAGCATTATTTTATTATCGTTAACGTGCTCGACGGAGACGCGGTCGGTCTCCGTTTCGTCGAACCTTCTCCAAAGGTCCGCCAGACCCTTTTCGATTGGCGCGACCCGGCGCTCTGTCCCGATAGTAATCTGTATATATAGCTGTAGTATCTGTTATGTAGCTAAATCGCTAAATGGTGTTGTATACATACTTTCTCTCCGTAAAAAACACGAGTAATCTGTAACTGCTAGTGTACACGCTGTGCCGGTGTATCAAAAATATGCGGACACGCGCGTGCATGTGTGTGTATGTGTGCGTGCGTGTGTGTATGCATGCGTGCGTGTATGCGTACGTATGGACAAACGCGTAGGTCTCGGGATACCTGCGAAACAAGAAGTTAACAACGCATATTTAGGTGTGCCTGAAATCGTCGCAGAGTAACGAGTACTTCCAACGCCCGCGAAGTCCGAGAAATTAGTTTAGGAGCAATTCGTCTCGCCGGCTCGCCTACTGAAAGAAGAAGGGTATAAAGTCGATGAAATTGCGTGCACAAACGAACGCTTCTTCGCAGCGCTCCGAAGCAACTCGCCGATTTCTCGTACCGATCCGAACGCATCTGGAAAGTGACGAGTGACTCTTTTTCTCTCCCTCGCCCTCTCTCTCTCTCTCTCTCTCTCTCTCTCTCTCTCTCTCTC